ACTTATTATGATGGTCTTCAATGCTTCCAAAATGTAAATACTGATTTCTWGAGCTTTAAAACCACCAATGTTTTACGAGATAATGATTCAGCAAGGAAGCACTTTCATCTAAGTGCTGGCATGGCAAGGTTTGAGTCTGAGAGACGAAACGTTCTGCTGTAAGGGCCAAGTGTCAAAGAATTAGCTGCGGAGACAGCTTGGTGTAATGACTGCGAGGCAAAACAAACAGGAGCTGCTGCTTTCTGCAAGGTAGTTTCAAAGGTTCCTCGTTTGTTTGCACATCTGAAGCTGCAGGACAGAGGGTGGGGGCAGCCTTTAATCTGAGATGGAGACAGAGCCACCAGGTGCCTGCCTGAAAGTGCTGTAGGATCCRGCTCCAGCAGAACCAGGCTTCCAGGCAGCCAGTCTCTGCAGCACAGCCACATCGTCCCCAGGGACATGGGGAACGGATCAATGCAGAGCACTTTGTGTCACTGCAACTGTGTCTCTCCTGACACCTCCGAGTGCCTGGCAGATATTCCCTGCTCCCCAGTGACGGCTCCCTGACAGCTGAGCATCGCCCTCGGCTCCGGAGGCGGCGTCAGGGGGATGAAGGCAGCTCCTGCTGCAAAGCACTGATGCTTTATTGAGCCCAGGTATTTCAGTCTGCATTTGCTAGGGGCTTTATGAGTGTCACTACTACCAACATTTCTTCCTGRTTTAAAGAAACTGAGTTCCTGACACTGAAGAGCAAATATGTGGCAGGGGCAATTAGCAAACACACCAGACAGCCTCGGTTCCTGTCAAGACGCTTCCAGCCAGCCCTGCCAGCAGAGTTATTACCTCCTGCCCCAGGAAAAGCCTATTCCTGTCTCTGAGCATGGTGTCCTTGTCCCTGTGTCCTCAGCCAGTGGCTCCTTGCTCAGGAAACTGCCTTGACAGAGAAGTCAGGGCCACATGCTAGAAATYTGGAAGCACCTCTGGAAGCCTGGATATTCTCACAGCCTTAGAGCTGTATCAGCACCTCCCAAAATTGGGGTGACAAAGGAGTGAGCAGCTCAGGGGCTGGACTGATCCCATCCCACGTTTCTTCCCTGATCCCTATAAAGTGGATGGTCAGATGCCAGACAGAGCAGAGCTGCCGCCAGGGCTGCAGTGGGGGTGGCATGTGTCCAGACTGCATCAGATGAGTTATTAGGTGGGGATAAACYATTCTGACATCCGAGCACCCTGCTTTGGAAACACAGGAAGGCACTTGTGCCTGYTCATGTGGGATGGCTGGAGCAGCTGCTGGAGGTAAGGGTACTTGTGCAGATGTTGATTCACAGCTGGACTCGTGGCCATTTCCAACATGCCAGGTTCCTTTCGAGGTATTTCAGCTATGAGAGCTCTTTATGTGCCTGTGCTGGCTCTTCCTTGGCTGGTCTCTGCCCCTTTCAGTTGTCAACTGATGTAACTTTTCTTAAGATTAATGYTTCAGCTTTCTCGACTCAGGCTGACTCCTTTCATTTAACATGGGAAGAGGGAAATTACCTCCCAGACTAAACAGAAGCAGTCCCAGCCCCCGACATGGGCCAGCTCTTGCAGGAATATCCCTAAGCACAGTTGCTGAAGCCCTTGGAAGGGGAAGGGCTTCTCCCAGCAGCAGTGTTTCAGCTCCATCCTGGGCACTTCCAACTTCCTACAGCAGAGATCCACTTTCACTGCATCTCCCTGTGTGCTTTCCCTGCATATTGGGGCAACCCAGTGGGAGATTTGCACCTCAAAACCTCATGGAGGGACTGGGTGGAGGGRAAGGGCCACCAAAGCTGGTGGATGAGGGTGGACACATGTCCATGCCTTTGATCAGCACTGGCATATTCCAGGA